GCCACACCCACGGTTTATACAAAATTGGTTCCCCTTCACCTAAGGATGCCTCAGACCAAATATGGAACAAATTATTTCATTCCTACAGAAGAAGAAGGATGGTAAACAATTTGCTATATTTCCCCCAGGTGCCCCGCCCCTCAGGCCCCTAGGGGGGCCACACCCACGGTTTATGCAAAATTGGTTCCCCTTCCCCCAAGGATGCCTCAGACCAAATATGGAACAAATCCTTTCATTCCTACAGAAGAAGAAGCATTTTAAAAAATTTGCTATATCTACCCTAATGGACCCCGCCCCTCAGCCCCCATGGGGGCCAGACCTACGGTTTATGCAAACTTCGTTCCTCTTTTCCCAAGGATGCTTCAGACCAAATATGAAACAAATCCTTTCATTCCTACAGAAGAAGAAGGATTTTAAAGAAATTGCTATATTTCCCTTTTTGGGCCCCGTCCCTCGGCCCCCAGGGGGGCCAGACCCACCATTTATTCAAAATTTGTTCCCCTTCCCCCAAGGATGCTTTTGACCTAATTTGGTCAAAATCTGCTCAGTCGTTCATGACTAGTAGCGTTTTAAAGGAAAAGTTGACAGACGGACGGACGACGGACGACGGACGCTGCGGTATGGCATAAGCTCACCATGGTCCGAAGGACCAGGTGAGCTAAAAATCAATTATTCTCCAGCTGAAAATACTTTTGAATTGTATTCCTGTACGTAAATCGTCAAAATAATATGAGCACCATACCTTAAAATTCATCAACAGCTTTGCATCTGATTTAATCGCTAATCTTAATCAAGTAAAAAGGGTGTCCACTTGTTAGTAAGTTTTCAGACTGTTGCGCATACAATCTTTGTATTCAATTCCATGTTTTCTCTTGCTTTGTCTTATTTTGTGAATAGTTCGTGACTTTTGATGTTTTCTCTTGTCTGGTCAATTCAAGTGTTTTGTTCGTGTCTACTCATGTTTTTTTCTCTTGCTTTGTTCCATCATGTGAATTGTTCGGGTCTATAGAATGTTTTGTCCTTGCTATGTGTTATTATGTGTAGTTTTATGCCTAACGATGTTTTCCCTACTTTTGTCCTGTAAGGTGCGCTGCTTGTGTCTATTCAGGTCTTGTCTTGGTTCATGTTTTGCTTGCATTTTCCAATTTCTCGAAAGATGAATTACTCGCAAATCACGCCTTTGTATTACACTCTTTCCGAATTCCCACTTATGATAAAGGATACTGACCTGCCTCGTTTGAATTGGATTACAAAACTTCACAAGAATCTTTTTAAACAACGGTTTATCGCTGGCTCTTCTAGTTGCTCAACCCAGACGTAATCAAAACTTCTCACTACCATTCTCTTTAACATTTAACCAGTGTACTCAAGAAATGGATTAAACGGTGTGCGGATTTTTAAAATTAAACAGAGCTTTTGATTAACAATCAAGTATTGACTTTACGACCCATAACGCCATATTTTTCTTGTTATGAGAGCTTTCTTTTCAATAAAAGGCGAACAGCGATATAACTAGATGGTTGCAAATTATTTTGGTTCAAATTATATGAAAAGTGCAACAAAGGCCAAGATAAAATATAATGAAAACTATATTATGAGAATCTTTTAGTCCTTATTGACAATCTCTTTGTTGTGTTTGGTGGCAGGGTTTCCCAGCAGACTGTAGGCATTTCTGTGGGAACAAACTGTGCCCCTCTTTTGGCAGTTTTGCTTTTGTTTTCATTTGAAGCTGAATTAATTGATGAGCTTATCATGATTGGTAACAAAATCCTAGCAATGTCCTTCAATTTCACATTCAGATATATCGACGATTTGCTGTCTTTATTATATCAAAGAAAATCATTGACGACATCGATGGTATATACCCTCACGAGTTTGAAGACTATGAACAAGTTATATGATCGCTATCAGGATCTCACAGGAACATATGCTATTCCTTGGTGTGAACTGAAGGTCGATATTTTTATCAAGCTCATGAGTGTGCCTTGTGGTTTTGTTGTCATTACCCGAGTTCTCGAAAACGCTAACCCTTCCGGATCACCTGGTCTTTCGGGGATTTGGAGCAGGATTATGGTATTGACATGTTGATATTCTCGTGTTGATGTTTTTGGTGTGTTTTCTTGCTTTGTTTTATATGTTTTGTTCGTGTCTACTGATGTATCATTCCTGATGGTCCATTCAGGGGTATTGCTCGGGCTTATTAAAGTTTGTTCTTGCTTTGTCCTATCATGCCATCGTTCGATCATGTTTAAGTTTTTCTTCGCTTTGTGTATTGTTCGAATGAATTATATTCTTGCCTTGTATATCGTTTGTATGAATCTTGTCTCGTGGTGTTTTCTTTTGCTTTGTCTTGTAACGGGTACTTTTCGTGATATTAATGTTTCTCCTGCTTAATTGTTCGCATCTATTGATTTTGTTTTTTTTATTTTTTCTTGTTTTAATCTTTCAGCTGTATCATTCCTAATTACAGAGGTATTTTTTCTTGCTTTGTCCTTTTAGTTTAGTACTTCCTACGGAAAACAAATGTTACAAAAGCGAACTACAAAACATGTAAAAGGTACAGAAAACAGAAATTACAAAGGCGAGGTATACAATAGATAATTTATTGGGTTTTTTTGTTTTTGTTACTGCATATGCTTCCTCAACTTTATGTGTATGATATCAGGATGTGAGAGTCATGTGACATGTGGAAGGTGATCTTGTTTTCTTGATAATAACAGTGAGGATGATGATCACATGTACATGATGCAAGTATTTATGGTAATGACCAGTGGTGATTTGTATTTTTTCTCTGTATGATTATAACGATACAATGATATTGCTTTGATGATGATGATGATGATGATGATGAGATGATGATGGTAATGATGATGATGCATTGTATGAAATATGATGAGATGTTGTTTTGCATTAAAAAAAAAAGTGATGATGAAGGTGATGAGAATGATGATGAGGATGGTGCATGTCTGTGAGATGTGTTGGTAATGAGGCTATTGTTTATGATGGGTGATGCTTGATGAATGATGATAATGATAATTGCTAATTTGATGAAGATGTATATTGCACATGAAAATGAAAATAAAAATCAAATTAAAAAAAAAAAGGCGAGCTACCAAACATGTAAAAAGTACAAAAATAAACATAACAAAGGCGAGCTACCAACATGTCAAAGGTACGGAGAAAGGCAATTACAAAAGCCAGCTACTAATAAATACAAATAACCTAATCAGCAAGAATGCTACTTTTCGCCATTATTCACTACGGATACGGGATTAAATAGTTTGTAATCTTTAGAGACATTCCCAGATTATACAGGTTGTATTTGACAAACGTACTTCCCTGAATTTAAGAGGCGATATGACAGGTACTAAAGTATCTAAAATCCAGCGCACCAGGTTTCTTCCAAGCTTGTGTGTAAGAAGCAATTTTGGCAAGACGTTATGGAAATGTGGTCGAAGGGACTCAACTCGAACGAATCGTGGAAACACTGCTTTCCTAAATGTGTGTGATAATGTCGGAATTGTGCTATAAAAGTAAACTCTTATACAGACACCTATCAGGCCACCACAAACCATTACATAACAAGGACGTTTTGATCAATAACATGTACCTCTTGAATGACCAATTAAGTTCACGTATCGAGAAGAAATATCACCACTTCCCTGTGGATTACCACAGAGTAGAAGTATGTAGTGGATTAAAGTGTCATGTTTCACAATGCCACAATACATACATAGAACACAATATTTTACACAAAGTATTATTAAAATACTATGCCAAATCTGATCTGCGAGACACTGATAACGTACTTAACTGATTACGAGGTTATGAGATCTCTATCTCTCTCTCACTTACTACCTTTGCTCGTCCTTCATCGAGATGTTTCTACCTTCTGAACTGGTTACTGTTTTGGACATGATACTCTTTCTACATGTAAATGCATATACCTGAAACATGCATTAAATGTTGCAGTTTTTGCTGTTTCCGTTCTTTTTTGTTTGTTTATTGTTTGTTTTTCTTTTCGGACCGAAAGTAACGTATACTTAAACCTTCCTAAAGTTAAATAAGATGACTGGGAAACTCTATACTCAGCTTATAATTGCTAAATGATTTCTTTCCTCGATCTAAGGGAGGGAATACCGAAAATGTTGCTTTAAAATGTCGGTAAATTATAAGCAGTTATTATCGCATAGTGCAGAACGGAATATTTGGGCTGTGGGTTTAACTCTAAGCTACTTGCCTGTTGTCCTGGATGCAGTCACAAGATTGCTTGTTTCCTATTGTAACAGAGGGAACTAAATATCCTACTGATTTTCTCACTTCTTACCTTACTTTTATTCCATCTCTTGTCTCACTTATTATTTCTTATCTTGCGTTTTAGCGGAGTTATTACCAAACTTTTTAAATTTTGTTCGTATCTCATAATTTGTCTCAGTTTTTATTTCGCGGTTTTTTCCGACATTTTGTCTCAGTTCTTATCTGTTTAATCCAAGTACTTACCATAATTTTTACCTGTGTTATTATCTCATTTATGTCTCGATCCTTATTCCACGCTCGGAGTATTTAATTGAGTTCTTGCCTGTTTTCATCCAAGATCTTACCTTACTTTGTATTTGAGTTTTTGTCTCTGTTTGATCCAAGTTCTTACCTTACTTTTTATTTCAGTTATTATCCCATTTCGCAAATCTTCCGTTTTTCTTATTTCGTTTCTTATCTTAGTTCCCATCATCTCAGTTCTGACCACAGTTGGCCGAATTTTAACAGGAGAAACAGATATAAACAGAATTAAAACAACTTCTATCGGAGAAAATGACAGTTGATAAAACTTCTTCAATATTTGTAAAGAAATGTATTTTCAGTTTCTACTGTAACAACTGAAGGAGTTGAGATAATGCGGTCTGATTTAGTTCAACCTTTCAAAATTTAGGAAACAAGATTTAGTGATATTGACTGTATTTCGGTTATGTCATTCATGTCGACACAGACAACTAAATAGCATGTAGGTAACAATATTCTTTTATTGATTACACACGTTAACGGGTGCAATTTACGAGAGACAGGACTGTGTCCGTTCCTTGGTGCGTTCGATCCCTATGATGAGGACCATTGAAACAGCGTTCAGGTGTGAGATGATCGCACTAGAGCAGGTGCTGGGTACATTAGCTGATGAAGAGCAAGCCTGTCACACTCGCAGTTCCCGAACGCAGCATCGATGTACCTAAAATCCACCACGACTGAATCTGTTGTACCTGTTCCTCCGACATCGGCGCGATCGTCGTAACCGTGTACACGTCAGCTGAAAACAAAAACAAAAGCAGATATTAGTACTATTACTAAACTCATCCCACCGGCGAAGATATATTCCCTCTTATGAAATTTCTTGAGAAAATCCCTCCATCAGTTTTATAGTTCAGGGGGTATTTTCCCACTCATAGCCAGGTTTATCCTATAAGAACCTATTACACAATTATAAATTTCTCCACTATTTGAAAGGAACATCTCCAATTATGTTGTGTATTGCTTATTTTTTTCCATTTTAGCGAGAGTACACATATTTAGTGAACACGCTGGGTAATAGCTATCATAATTTGGTAAGGAATGTGGTTTGGATGTACACTCGCCTAAAAATTGCATGATTTAGTGTCATTCCCTATTTAAAAATTGAAGAATGTGGGGGTTTTCGGTATGAAACAGGTAACAATTGATTAAATAAACATTTTTTTATGTGTAAACATAATTATAAACCAATTATAGTTGCGTCCAGTTCTTTATGCAGACAGACACGGGTGTCGAACTCACTTTCCCTTCAATGCAGTAACAGACCCTGCAATCCGCATGATAATCCCTCTTTTTTAGGTTCTGGATGAAGAATCCTTTATGCATACATCCTGAAACATAAAAAGAAACGTGGTCACACACAGTTGTTTATAATTAGTGGACGACAAACGACGTGGTCACTGAGTTGTTTATAATTAGTGGACGACAAACGACGTGGTCACTGAGTTGTTTATAATTAGTGGACGTCAAACGACGTGGTCACTGAGATGTTTATAATTAGTGGACGACAAACGACGTGGTCACCGAGTTGTTTATAGTTAGTGGACGACAAACGACGTGGTCACTGAGTTGTTTATAATTAGTGAACGACAAACGACGTGGTCACTGAGTTGTTTATAATTAGTGAACGACAAACGACGGGGTCACTGAGTTGTTTCCAATTGATACAAGACGTTGTCACTTCGCATTGACATCAGATCACAGATCCATCCCTAAGTATCTGTCTCTTCTGTCATTAGATTTTATGTCCATCAGTCAGTGCATGCTTTACAATGTCATTAGTTCATGTATCCGTCTGTATGTACTTTGCTTTTAGTATTATTGGGTAACCTTTCTGGCCTACATAGCTTCATGTACAATAACATTTCACCATACATTCCTTGCTATCCTTACCTTCAATGACATTGGGTTACATGTCTGTACGTACCTCGCTTGCAATGGCAGTGAGCTGATTGGCCATCGGTACATTGGCTATAGCTGTGTTCGGCAGTCTGCACACAGTGATAGCCGATTTGGTCACATCCGAACTGCCTGTAATGACAAAATAAAGTAAGTATGTTTATGCATAGATTGAATATGACTTTATACCGATATTCTCGAGACATAACCAGATCATAATTACCATTCCGATAGCCATAAATGATTGATCTTGACATCGGTCAATGATTATTCCAGTTACATGTAATAGTTCAACGTTTGTTTGTTTAACTCGCACGCATGGTGAAACTGCTGTGAGAGAACACTGAACGAGCTTTATTAGAGGATGGTGAAGAATCGGGCTAGTTCCAGGGAAGTGCTGGAGTAAGGCAGGCATGTATTATGTCTGTATATCGCCGTCTTATTACCTTTGACTGGATAATGAGGAATACTACGATCAACTGGGATGCGACGGAAATTCAAAACAAGAATATTTAGATTATACAGCCGATTTAGCGCTATTATCATAAAAAAAAGATCAACAGAAAAGTGGGCCTAAAGATCAATGCCAGAAAAACAAAAATAGGATAGATGATGATGGCTGAATAAGACAGCAGATGTAGACTGTTTCACAAGTTTAGGAGGGATAGATAACAAGAGAGAAGGGTGTGATGGGGACATCAAAACATGCTTGATAAAATAGGGGGCACAGTTTTACAGAATCAGGGACATATTAAACTCTGCATCTTTTCCGATTACACAAAAATAAGACTACTCAACACCTATAGTCATATCAGTATTTCATTGTATGGATACGACCGTGAAAAATTAACGAAGCCGAGCAGGACAAACTAAAATTCTTTTAAAGTTGATATTTACGAAAATAATGACACTTCGGTGGCCAAAGTACATCAGAGGACAGATACAGTCGGTTTTGAAGAGGAGGTGGACATGGACTGCCCTGATTTTATGATTAACAAGAAGGATCTGTCCAAAATCATTTGCATGACAACTGGAAAAAAAGGGAAGAATAGGGAAGCAAAAACAACAATTCCAATGGGATTGGCAATAAAAGGAAAGAGAAAGCATTTTATGGAGAGGTTAAAGGTTGGTCGAGGACATTGGCAAAAGGCATGATGAAATGGAAGAGTTTTGTAAGGGCCTTATATGCTAGAAGACACGAAGGGGACACATTTGTAGGAGAGGAGAGGAATGGTGCTTCTGTCAAACAAGAACACACACATTGTTATAAACACTTATTTATAAACCTTCTCAGACTTACGCCATATGCAAATGAGAAATGTGCGGACAGTTTACAACTTTACAAGAAGAGCAGCTGTTTTTATACGGGTTTTATGTAATAAGCAAAAAATAGAATCCATCCCTGATGTGAGGTAAGGATAAGGTTATTCAAATCCTCGGGTTAGAATATTGAGCAAAATACCCTCGGCAAAGCCTGGGGTCTCCTGCTCAATATTTTATCCCATGGGTTTGATTAACCTTATCCATACCTCACATCAGGGATGGATTCTATTATTCTTGCATACTAGACCGAGATATCCGTATTTCCGGCGGTGCTGGAAAATTCTATCCGACCCACGGGTCTAGATCGCTTACACGCGCAGACTGGCGGGGGAATTATAGTGACCTTTCGTGGTCACGCTATTGTTCGTGACGTCTTTTTATGACGTTTTGGGGTCAGTCAGGGTCATTGACGTCACTTATAATTGACATCCGGGCTTCATATGCAAATGAGAAATGTGCGGACAGTTTACAACTTTACAAGAAGAGCAGCTGTTTTTATACGGGTTTTATGTAATAAGCAAAAAATAGAATCCATCCCTGATGTGAGGTAAGGATAAGGTTATTCAAATCCTCGGGTTAGAATATTGAGCAAAATACCCTCGGCAAAGCCTGGGGTCTCCTGCTCAATATTTTATCCCATGGGTTTGATTAACCTTATCCATACCTCACATCAGGGATGGATTCTATTATTCTTGCATACTAGACCGAGATATCCGTATTTCCGGCGGTGCTGGAAAATTCTATCCGACCCACGGGTCTAGATCGCTTACACGCGCAGACTGGCGGGGGAATTATAGTGACCTTTCGTGGTCACGCTATTGTTCGTGACGTCTTTTTATGACGTTTTGGGGTCAGTCAGTGTCATTGACGTCACTTATAATTGACATCCGGGCTTCATATGCAAATGAGAAATGTGCGGACAGTTTACAACTTTACAAGAAGAGCAGCTGTTTTTATACGGGTTTTATGTAATAAGCAAAAAATAGAATCCATCCCTGATGTGAGGTAAGGATAAGGTTATTCAAACCCTCGGGATAAAATATTGAGCAAAATACCCTCGGCAAAGCCTCGGGTCTCCTGCTCAATATGTTATCCCTTGGGTTTGAATTACCTTATCCATACCTCCTAGACCGAGATATCCGCATTTCCGGCGGTGCTGGAAACTTCTATCCGACCAACGGGTCTAGATCGCTTACACGCGCAGACTGGTGGAGGAATTATAGTGACCTTTCGGCGTCACGCTATTGTTCGTGACGTCATTTTATGACGTTTTGGGGTCAGTCAGGGTCATTGACGTGACTAATAATTGACATCCGGGCTTCATATGTAAATGAGAAATGTGCGGCAAAGCCTCGGGTCTCCTGCTCAATATTTTATCCCGAGGGTTTGAATTACCTTATCCATCCCTCACATCAGGGATGGATTCTATTATTCTTGCATACTGGACCGAGATATCCGCATTTCTGGCGGTGCTGGAAAATTCTATCCGACCCACGGGTCTAGATAGCTTACACCCGCAGACTGGCGGGGGAATAATACTGTAGTGACCTTTCGGGGTCACGCTATTGTTCTTGACGTTAATTTATGACGTTTCGTGGTCAGTCAGGGTCAATAACGTCATTAACAATTGCAATCCATGCTGCATATGTAAATGAGAAATACGAAGACAGTTTACAACTTTACCAGGTGAGCAGCAGTTTTACGGGGTTTAGGTAAAAAGCAAGAAATAGAATCCATCCCTGATGTGATGTGACGACCATTATCTATACTGACAGATGGTGAGAATACATGGATATGTCAACCATTATCTGTACTGACAGCTGGTGAGTATACAGAGATATGACAACCTTTATCTATACTGACAGCTGGTGAGTTTACAGGGATATGACAACCTTTATCTGTACTGACAGCTGGTGAGTATACAGGGATATGATAACCATTATCTATACTGACAGCTGGTGAGTTTACAGGGCTTTGACAACCTTTATCTGTACTGACAGCTGGTGAGTATACAGGGCTTTGACAACCTTTATCTATACTGACAGCTGGTGAGTATACAGGGATATGACAACCATTATCTATACTGATAGCTGGTGAGTATACAGGGATATGCCAACCTTTATCTATACTGACAGCTGGTGAGTAAACAGGGATATGACAGCCTTTATCTATACTGACAACAAGTGAGTATACAGGGCTTTGACAACCTTTATCTATACTGACAGCTGGTGAGTTTACATTGGTTTGACAACCTTTATCTGTACTGACAGCTGGTGAGTATACAGGGATACGACAACCTTTATCTGTACTGACAGCTGGAGAGTATACAGGGATATGACAACCATTATATATACTGATAGCTGCTAGGTATACAGGGCTTTGACAACCTTTATCTATACTGACAGCTGGGGAGTTTACATTGGTTTGACAACCTTTATCCGTACTGACAGCTGGTGAGTATACAGGGCTTTGACAACCTTTATCTGTACTGATAGCTGGTGAGTATACAGGGATATGCCAACCTTTATCTATACTGATAGCTGGTGAGTATACAGGGATATGACAACCTTTATGTGTACTGACAGCTGGTGAGTATACAGGGATATGACAACCTTTATCTATACTGACAGCTGGTGAGTTTACAGAGATATGACAACCATTATCTATACTGACAACAAGTGAGTATACAGGGCTTTGACAACCTTTATCTATACTGACAGCTGGTGAGTTTACATGGCTTTGACAACCTTTATCTGTACTGATAGCTGGTGAGTATACAGGGATATGACAACCATCATCTATACTGACAGCTGGTGAGTATACAGGGATATGACAACCATTATCTATACTGATAGCTGGTGAGTTTACAGGGATATGCCAACCTTTATCTATACTGATAGCTGGTGAGTATACAGGGATATGCCAACCTTTATCTATACTGACAGCTGATGAGTAAACAGGGATATGACAGCCTTTATATATACTGACAGCTGGTGAGTATACAGGGATATGACAACCTTTATCTGTACTGACAACTGGTGAGTATACAGGGATATGACAGCCTTTATATATACTGACAGCTGGTGAGTATACAGGGATATGACAACCTTTATATGTACTGACAACTGGTGAGTATTCAGTAAGGAAACAAATACTTGTATATTGAAAAACTTACTTGTGCTGACAATTGTCGCCCACGTGACCATGGTCAAGTCCCTGGCGTTCGATAGGTTCATCTATATGTGCATCGATTGGGAGATTGCTGCCTCCAAGGATACCTTCGAAGATATTTGAAACCATACCTCTACGCCTACCTATGAGTGGGTTGATGATATGAGATCCTAAGTGCGTGTTGAGGGAAGACGGCATTATTGGAATGCGTCGATGTAACATAGGTATACCATGCTCAGCATGGGGTATCAAAATCCCTTCCGACACCTGTCCGAACAATGCAAGAATTAAAACGACCCACATGACTTAAGAGTAGTTGCCGGGTTGCCCCACCTGAGCATTTTATAGAGGCATAGGACGTCATCAGTTGGACATCCATCAGCCCCTCTTTCCATCAGGTGTTTAGTCATCCCGCCAGTTACGCTACATTGACGGAAACAAACGGACAACAACACGTTCTAGTGAGAGCCAAACGAATACGGTCGATCGTTACAAAAGACACGACTGTTATCGAAATACAAAAATGTAGAGGAAAGTTCAATTATTAAATTACTAAGACGGAAAAAGTAACTTTCGTGAGGATAGAAAGAAATTCATGACCTCACATCGTTTTGCGAACTTTCTGTAAATCGTTACTAATTTATGTCAAACGTGTAACACACTGAAAGCTGATGGTTTACATAAAAGTCAAACAGTGACTTTCTTATTGCTGTAATATTCAAATTTATTGAGATATCAGTTTGGGGCAGGTTTGGCCAATCATACCTTGTCAGGTCCGGCTACACATCGTGAAATTGGCTGGGAAATCGGACGTCACATGCTTTACGACGTCATAATTATGGTGATTTCAACGTTGGCTAAACTTATTATTTTATGAAAGACATGGGATTTATCTTTCAACTGGTATATATACACCTAAATTTCAACAAATGCCATTCTATCCTGATCGGCTTTGATAAAAATGGGTCGAATTTGTCCCGGTCTCCACCTAAGGGTTGGGGTTTGGGGACTTTAAATGGGTTTAAAAAGTGGAAAAGCGTCCAAAAATTAACAAGTAATAGCAACCATTCAGACTAACTTATGTGGAAAAGCTTTAAAACCTGATTGATCTGGACTATTAACTCGGACCAAAAACAGCATAATGAATATAAATCGTTGTCCATGACTTGAAACTAACATTGTCAACGTCACAAATGAGATGTATGGGTAACGATGTCGTCACGACTGATTGGCGGAGATTTGACAAGTTTCCCGATGGTGTCCACGGCTCGTGACACAATCAGACCGTCAATCACCACGCGTGTGATGCTATCACATCAGGTTGGGACCACCTTGCAATGTAATTTAGGTTGATGATGTGTACAAACTGCATCCAAGACTGAGGGTTATGTATCATGGCGGGTCAAGGATGCAATATACACGCTAACACTACATCAATGTGTACAGTATATGATTCTAAGAGATATAGGTAGTTTTCTCGGATCATTAGAGATGTTATTTATCCGTGCATTGTGAAGAAGTTGTATCACAATAAAAAAAACTGTGTGGTTCGATAAATAAATGCAAGTATCGATCTTTGACCTTTAGTTTGTTTACACTGTGGCCATCTGTGACGTAAGCACTCCGTCTCGGAAGGTGGCGTCAGTCTAGTGTACTGTTATATATATGTTATATATATTTTGTGACCACCAGAGAAGTGTCCGGAATTATTGTCCGTATTCTGTTTATGATGTATGAATTAGATGTAACCTTGAGTTTCCACCGAAAGTTTGAGATAAACTACACGAAAGCGAATCCAGAACAAGGGTTTGTTGTTTATGTATCCTACTGCGAGTCAATTACACAACATGGTGAAGAATCCAAAACCGTAAGATGTAGTTTCGTGACACTTCCAGCCGACCGTTGTTGGTTGGACCACAGCAAGCGAGTGTCCCCGTTTATAGGAAGATGCAGAGTGCTTGGGTCTGGGCGGCGTTGTAAGATGTATCGATATTTGAACTGGTAACTGCTATAATTTCAACCATACTACAATTTACTTAAGGTGCTTGATCATTACAGTGTCGAATACAGCAATTGGATTCCATCGTATGTTATTAAGGAGAATGGACAGACTTTGTCATTTTCTATCACATGGACCAAATTGTTATCTCATTGTAACAAGGACTTCGGGAGTGATAATGGTTGTGACCAAAGTAATGTACCGGGTACTGCAATTATATCTACGCCTAGCAACAACCAACGACGTAAACACAAGTCGCCGTCACAGATTCGCCACGAGAAAAAGCGACGAACGCAGTGGCTACTTGACCGGAAGCGGCGTGATTCAGGTACTAAAGTTATTAAGGCGTAAACAGGGCAAATCAGACTGATGCTGTGGTACACAGTGCTCCATATGACGCCCCAGAGACAGTTGGTTCTACTTCGGATAGTAAGTGTAACATCCAACATAAGGACACGTCTAGGCCTGTTTTAGAGTATCTTGGTGACCCGTGTACGGAAACAAGTTCTGGTTATAGGCCCGATCGAGTGAAAACTGGACTTTGTGGACAGTCATTTTCTGGTCAGTCGATGCACCCTACACTTCGTCAGGACTTAACACGTCAGAGACTGTGAATGGAATGTGTAACACCAAACCCTCTACAGAATATGCTGTTTGATCAGTGACTGAAGTGACACCTAGAGTTGTTGATGTTCGTGATGTTTCCAACTCGGAGCAGTTCAACTCAATGTCTATCAACAGTAAAGATCTGTTTGCATATCTGACTGGCCAGCGGAAAGACTTACCTGCACATGTCAAATGATGTGTAATCTACTGACATTGGATATGTAAATTGTCCCATATTCTAAAATGAAGACATTCCGTGATTGATAACAATGACAATCTTCCGTACTCATTTCATAATATGCCAATTATTCTTCCATTGATTTGTGCAGAAACTGGTAGTCCAATCATTCATTCTTTTAAGTCAAAGCTTTCTATGAATGTTGGCATTGTTGGACATTTTCTATATGTTTATATGCATATGCTATTGCCTTAATGTAGTTCTAGTACAGTTACACCTTGTATGGTCTAGATATATAATTCCTTTTCCATTTGATTTTTTTTTTTCATTCACTATTCTATGCTCTGTTGTTTTGTATGTCTGGATACTTCCTTGTTGTTTAAATTTCACTGGGGTTCATTTTTATGAGCGGGGGGATGTTATATATATGTTATATTTATTTTGTGACCACCAGAGAAGTATCCGGAATTATTGTCCGTATTCTGTTTATGATGTATGAATTAGATGTAACCTTGAGTTTCCACCGAAAGTTTGAGATAAACTACACGAAAGCGAAGCAAGAACAAGGGTTTGTTGTTTATTTATCCTACTGCGAGTCAATTAAACAACAGTACGCTTGACTGTTTTTTTTGGCTTCAGCAAACAATTTGTTTGCTATTTACCCAGATAAAATATGAATTTGGTTTAGATTAGTAATTGCCTTTTTCCGATATTATTTTTTCTTTTCAAAACGAGGTGATGTCGTTAGGCCTGATATTGCCTCCATGTCCGTTAAGGTCGAGCATCCGTCTATGATTTACATGCGAAACATCTGTTTCTATTATTTTAATAAATATTGTCTTATTTAAGTAAAGCATAAAACGTCAATGAAGCACATAGCTACCAATATTACTTTTCAAAATAGGAAATATAGAATGTGTGGACCTCCTGGCTTTAGCAGGATACAGAAAATGACTCGGAGCCGAGAAAAATATCGCATGCCTTCAATTTCAGTTATAAATCTATTTCTTTATAAGAATTGATTTACTCTAAAAGAATTTTTAAGGATGTAAGGGACATACACCATTCATATGTTAGTGATACACAAGCCTCGCTTTGGAGCACTGGAGCAGCTGTGTATCCTTGACGTTCAAGGTCGATATTAGAGCTTCCGGTGGACGTGCCATTTGGTAATTATTATTGTTAATTCAGTGACATTTTATGTTTGCAAGAAGATGGTATGCGGAATGGAAGATGTCATTTCATATAAAAACTGTATTTCATCGTAACATTTGTTGTGTATTTCTACATCGCGTTACGCGTGTATGCTAGCCTAATGTGAGACTCGGAACACAGGTAAATCTACTCTATCTAGATCTGTGAATTCAGTGACGACCATGTCATGCCTGAGTGAACAACGCCTGTTTTGAACTGTAGCTGTCACGAGTGTATTTGTTAATATCCCATAGACTTTTACTCGTGAACTCTGTCATTCGTTTTACACTTATGTATTGTGATTATTTACTTTTCTCGTTATTCTTAGCTGTGTGTGTATTTTGAATTTCCCGTAGTTAGATATGATAGCTTAGGCATAGTTTAGGAAGTAGAAACATTTTATGTTTTGACTTTATTTATATCCTGTATGGTCGGATTGCGCTAGATTCACATTGTTTCCTTTTGAAACTTTGTTGATTTGATTATTTTTTTTTCTCTCTTTGATTTTCGATTTTGATAGACTTTATGAATTTGTTTTTGTTTATGGTTATTTATCTATTTTCAGTATTACTTGAAATATTTACTTGAGATCTGCGGTCTATGATTTGAATTTATTTTTGATAGAATTTTTCTTTATTAGTGTAAATTTTGTTTCATACTTTTCATTTTTTTTATTCAAAATTTAGGTTTTTGTTGTAGTGGAACAGATTTCGCATAGATATTGCTTGCTCTGTCACTATTTGACTGACAATAAGTTGACTAGATCTCACGAGTAACAGTTACTGATTTTTAGGACACATTTATGTTTCATGTTGCACTTTCTATATGTTACATGTGTTGTGTTTGTGTTGATTTTGTGTAACCGGTGGTCTATATTGCTCATTGGATATCAGCTATTATTTTACAGCAGTTGGACATCTGGAATAAATACTTGGAGACTGTGTCAGGTAAAACCCAGTGGTCATTGTATATACTAGCTAGGTATTTTGACTAAATATATGGTTTATTTACAGTTGATGTCTGTTTTAGTACAAATGTACTGGTCAGTTGGGATCTCGAGACTTGTGTTTATCAGATTGTATTTATTTTCAGGTTTATTGTTTACAATTAGTTTTGTCAATTAGGTTTATTGTATCTGTTATCATCTTACTTATTCACCATGTCGTTTGACAAATCATTTTCGGACAAGGATGTTGAGGTTATTACAGCTACCCTTTTAGCTATGGGTTACAAGCCACAGGAAGGCCAGCTTAGTTCTGAGGAACTCCGGTCATGGATTAGGTCCAAGGAAACTATTAAGGATCCTAAACAGGAAGATGGAGCTTGTGCCTTGTCTACTCCCACGGTTA